TGGAAAAAAAACTGAGAACTTTTTTCCCGGATTAATATCACATAATATATATACACTGTTGATGGCTTTTGTTGTGCTATAGTTCCGAAAAATAAATCAATAATACCGTCTCGGAGAAAGAACTGCAAGTCCTTTTATCTTCCATTCGACTTCGCCGTTACGTAAATTACTAAACAACCATTAAATTCGCAATTTTTTGAAATCAAATCACAGAATTAGACTGACATCAGATATTTGATTACTTCAAAAGAATGATAAATATACCTACAACGCAGGTGTCCCTACTGCTATAAACTTCAAATTTCACGTCGATAATTTTCAGATTTCGAAATAATTCAATATTTTCTCAATATTGCTTCGTTCTTTCTTCTGTCACAAAAAAATAGTGTATTATACACGGGAAAAATATTAGATTTTAGCTCACGATTTTTTGTCTCCCTTGTATAATGAATAATCACCAAGTTTCATCGAAATCGGCAAGAAATCGAAAACGAAGGAAGTTTCGCGACAAATATTTAAGTATATTAACTTTTTTCATAAGACATGTCAAGCAATGAACCCATGATTTTTTTCGCTCTCATTCATTTACATCCTGTATGTATGTCTGAAAAAACAACATATCACGTTACATAATACGTCGAGTGAAAATATCGATGGCGTGGCAAATTGTTGGCGAATACAATATACCTACATCCGATTATTGAATAAGAGAAATTCACCTGACCTCCTTACACACATAACTACTAGCTATGCGCTCGCTTTAATATAAGACCAAGAAGAAAACGGACTTCATCGAAGAGGAGAATGTATACTTATACATGCACCTTTCTCCGTTCTTACATATTTCTCGTTTCCATAAAAACAGGGTGAACTCAAATATCACTTCTACAAGGTGTTTGGTTTATTGCAATATTTAATCAGTGACAATGTTTATAGTGTGAGTGCATCCAATTCTGGTTGATAGCGTTGACATCACAACCATCATCTACAAACGGAAAAACCAGATATTCTGGCACTAACAGAAACTCAAGTGAACTCGTCCACCAATAAGGTCCACATGCTCTGTCCTGTTTACGAACTCCATTCTCGATTCAGGTTCAAAGCTGGGCCTACTCTAGGTGAGATAGAGTAGGCCCTGTTCAAAGGTGGAGTCTGCCTCTACGCTAAGGCTATAACCTTTCATTCCAGCGTGTAGAGAGTTTGGAACCGAAAGACTTCGATGTGATGTGGTTCAAGCTAGTCGATACCAAACTGGCCAAATTTAGCTGCTGCCATTACCTATAACAACCTCTTTGAGTTTTTATCACTCGAACTGGACTTCATTCAGATGAACCATTCAACAGCTAAAATCATAATCATGTACTTCAATGTACACAACACAGCCTGGCTCAAATTCTCTAACAAAACAGATGATGCAGGTCGTCAAACTGAGACCTTCGCCATCACTCATGGTCTAAAACAACTAGTCGAACTACCAACCCGCATTCCAGATGTCAACAACCGGTCTAAAAAATGCACTAGATCTTTTTCTCACCAGCAATCCTGATCCATATTGAATAGAAGTTTGTGCCCCACTTGGAAACTCTGACCACACCTTCAGCTCCACAACCTGCTCTTTCCATGTATAGTTTATCCAAAAACAATTGCAGAATCTTGTGCCGCACCTGCAGTCACTTCAAAGGAAACTTCAAACACGCCGACGCCGCACAGTGCGAGGTATTCTGCAATTGATAATGGATATACTTTACCATCTAGCAACCACAATTCCTACCCGTCTCCTGTGGCATTACAATTCGGTCGACTGGGAAGGTCTTCGTATGTTTTTTTCAGCGTTGCCATGGAAGAGAGTTTGTTTCTCCTCAGCAGATCCAACACGATGTGCTGACACAATTTCTGAAATCATCATGTTGGGGATGCAAACCTATATACCGAACACTGCAAGGAGAACATCTTCTGACAAGGCCAGGTTCAGTAGAAACTGATCTAGAGCTGTCGCTTCCAAACAGGCAGCATTCCATCGATGGCAGAAAAATCCAGGGCCTGAGACTAGAGCAGAATATGTCGAGGCTAGTGGCATATGCAATGAGACGATTCGATCATAAAAGGATGCTCATAATGCCAAAATAAGATCAAAACTTGTTGATTGTCCTAACGGATCCCGTTCATTTTGGTCCTCCGTCGAAGTTGTAGGAAGAAACTTCACTTCCAGCTCGTTTCCTCCTCTAACCAAGGAAGATGGAACACTAGCCACAATTTCCCAGGAGAACTATATGAAAGTACATTGTTTTTGGAATGGGAAATGGTTCATTTGCTTGTGTGTATTATTTCGATTTTTTGATAGTGTGAAAAACTGTTTATTTGTGTACTCCTGTGATTCGAAGGAGCTTTTTATCATATATTCGTTCAATGAAGTATGTTTCACTACTTCAAATACATGAAATTCGCGAAATATAAATGCCATAATCTGAGGTTACGGTAGTTACGGACAGCACAGAATATTCTATGAATGTTCTCACAACGTTCACAACATACCTCCTTCAGAATATTCCGAAGAACGTTCATAGAATATTCTATGAGGATATTCTGAATGTTCATAGAATGTTTTACGAGAATTTCCATTAAACTATTCATCCAAACATCCTGGGAACATTCCTAGAATACCCCATCATATTCTATGAATGTTATTAAGTAATGGTTATAGGATGTTTTCCAGGAATATTCATAGACCATATTATTCAGATACTCTGAAGAAAAGGAACATTCTTGTCTCCTATAATCACATGTCTCAGCTTCGTTTTTGAGATACAGGGAGTCAAATTAAAAAAAAAATCCATCCAAACCATCAATGTACAGTCGTCTTCAGAGAACGTCGCTCTCTTCATCACCGCTCCAATAAGAGCGCTCATATATACCGTCCAACCGCGACATGTTCACTGAAGACGAGTGTACTTTCTATTAGTTACTTAAATATCCGGAAGAGGGCGTTTCACTTATTTTGAATCGCCTATAAATCGTACACGTCATGCACCTTTCTCCGTTCTTACATATTCCTCGTTTCCATAAAAACACGGTGGATTCTAATATAACTTCTACATGGGGTTTGGTCTATTGGAATGATATTTAATTACTGAAAATGCTTATAGCCTACAGTGCTTTGTTTGCCAGGTTTCTCGGTTGTTATTGAAGATATAACCTTACGTTTCCACGTCCCTATTCTACTATTTGTGAAATTCGAGATAACCTATAGCAAAATTTTCGCATTACTGTTTCCGTTTATGAGATACAGGGCGATTTTGAAAATTTATACATTTTAGACCATTTCTATATCAACGAAGCTATTAGAAATGATGCTGAGATAAGAACTAGGTATAAAAAAATCCTACGCGGAATCCAGGGGCATATGATAGTTTTTTTTTGGATTGGTTTTAGAGGGGCGACTTACATATTTGTTGATGGAACACTCTGTATTTTACTATTTCGTTATTTTTGTATTGCTATTTTCTAAACGGTAAGCGATGGAATAAATTTTATCAAATTGGACAAAAGTTGCCTAAATAAAGCCTCTTCAATATCCTGTTTTGCGAACTGAAAAAAATTCAGCACTTCCTCAACTATCTGGGAAAACTGGAAATCATGAGCCCCATATTTATTATTCATACCATCGGCTTGAAAATCTCTCTACAGCCATGTTTAAAATGTCGGCATCATCACATGAAACAGCGCCAAGAGACAGTAAAACATTTTCAATAATATGCTAGGCCATAAGAAAACAAAATATTAGTCGTAATGACTACACTATTATTACTACTTTATATATCGCCATGTAGAACACGCTGAATTATAATGAGAAAAAGGCACAGTCTATAATAATTATGAGATTCTTTTTCTTTCTATATATGTGTTATAAACTATGTATCACTAATTATTTCTTGCTTTTGGGTACCTAAGTATGCGTTTTATGTTTCTTATTATAGTGATTTAGATTCATAATATTCTTTATTTTGGTCTAATTCTCTATAAAAAAATCACTAACGAGAATCCACAGACTACTAGCAAAAATTCATCATGAACAAAGCGTATAGTGTAGGTAGAATAGGTACGAATTATGTTTTCGGCATAGGTAATCAGAAACTCTTATTTCAATTAACATTATGTATATCTCCAATTTGTTTTTCCATAGTCTTAATTTATTATAACGTGAATATTTGTCCTATTTGCATATACAGCATAGAATATTCTCAGAACGTTCAGTGTACCTTGTGATAACATCCTGAGAATATTCTAAGAATCAATTTGTGCTATCTGGGTAGCATTTCGTTCCTATATCCTGAGAAATGAATATTGCGTATTGAATTATTACTACTTATTTCTTGCTTTTGGGCACCTGAGTATACGTTTCATGTTTCTAATTATAGTGATTTAGTTTCATGATATTTTTTATTTTTGCCTAATTCTCTATAAAAAATTCACTAACGAGAATCCACAGAATACTAGCAAAAATTCATCATGAACAAAGTGAAGTGTAGGTAAAATAGCTACGAATTATGCGAGTTGACATGGGTAACTCGAGACTCTTATTTCAATTAACATTATGTATGTCTCCAATTTGTTTTTCCATACTCTCCATTTATTGACTGGGACAAATATTTGCTCATGGGAATTCTGGCAACGCTGTATCAATTCTAATGACAGTGTCATCAAATTTTCCTATGGATGTTATAGAGTCTAGGATTTTGAAAGGTTCTAAACTGGAATACCTACTCAATTCTTTGTTAATTTTCGAGATAGAATTTCTTATTAATTTGATGATTCAGGTGGAATGGAATTTTCTGGAAATATATATATTTATTCACATAACTCCCTGTATGTTGATAGGAATCATTTATCTCATAATAAAGAACTGAATCTGCATGAATACGAAGTTTGCCTGTCTAATTCTGATTCACACTGTAGATAACAGGACATAGTGTTAGAAATAGAGGTGAAATAACGATAACACATTGTGGAAAATAATATATTATAATCGCGGACAAGGTCAATGGTAACAAGTGGATGCAACTAATAGCACAAGAACCCCCAATTATTTCTTGGAATTTTGATGAACATTGAAAAAAATCACTTGTTAGACAAGAAGTACAAACACCGTCTTCAATTGGTTTTCTATTCGATCTTCATCTTCTACTCAACACTTTCAATGATCTGGCTATATTGATTCTTCAAGCCACTTTCATCTAGTGTCGACACTTGTAGTTTCACTAATTTCCAAGCTTCATCGACAAGATCTTGTTGGGTGTAACACTTGGCAATGACCCGACGTTATTTGCTGTAGGCGCTTTCTGACATCTTCGCCATCTTGATCATCATCGACTCATGACATTTTAATCATTCATTCCTCCATTCACTGCCCATCTATTGTTGTCAACTTCATTCGGCTATAGTTTAATATGGAGGATTGCTAAGACCTCAAGCTTCCACTGTTGATTTTCATGGATGCATTAGGCATATAACAATAATCAGTCTTCTCACATTTCCTCTCACTAGCAATGAAAATATGAATTTCAGATAATGAATAATTCGCCAATTGGTTCTAACAGTCGTTTATCTTCTTAGGCTTCACTCTTGGCACACTTGCTGCTCTCTTGACATCCTTCGTCTTCTTGTTTCTTTCTTCTAGAGTACGTTCGCTCGCAGCTTTCCGGATTTCTTCACTTTTTTTGAGAAGATCTTGATAGGTAAAAGGACACTTTTTCGGCGCAGGTTTGACATAAACCTTCTTGCTTCTACCGCCTTCTACTATTTCTTTGACATCTTTGATGTTGCATACCTTCGCACCATCTGGTTCTTCTTGGCATATCAGCTTTTTACTCACAATCGTTTGATTTTGAGAGAGGTTAGGGGCACTGCGTTGTTTCAGGAGATCTTTCATTTGCTGCAACTCTTCTTGGATGATCTCGTTTTTGTCTTTATCTGGCTTGATTTCTTTACATACGAAAACTTCCCTTCCATTTTCATCTTTTGTTAGTCTGCATTTCAAGATTCTCAGTACTCCTTTTTCATTGAACTCCATTTTTTGAGGCTTATCGCTTTTTGACGAACATATCAGCTGTTCAGATTTACCAAGACTTTTCACTTTACAAATGAACATATCATGTTTATCACCGTCCAGTTCTACATCCTCAATTCCGCCCATTTTATTTGAATTTACTTTTGTTACTCCTGTTGAACTGGTGCATTTCTGGGAGATACTTTTACCCATTTCTTCTTTCGATTTTTTCTTTTCTCTGATTTTGTCACAGATCCCTTTTGGTTTATCACTTTCACCTGAAAGATAATACGTTTATAACCTAACCTGAAAAACTAGGAAAAATATCATGATGGAAAAAGGTTGACAAAAATTTAAAGAAGTTTAGAATTGAAAATTCAAGTGACTAGCCTTCTTTAAATATTTCAATTATTTGTTCAGAATTCTTCTGGGTATTCATATTGCAATGTCATAAGAATTCACTATTCTTGCTTTATGTCAGGTAATTTGAAGCAGTTAGATAAGTACTTACTCATAATGAAAGTTGTGTTATTGATAGATACAATTTATTTATTCTGTATAACAAACAGGTTGAACCCAATTATCCATATAATGAACTGAATTCTCAAAGTAGGCAAATCAACTATAATTATTTGATTTATTTCTCTTTCTCTTACAATTGAAAAATCAGGGTTCTAACGAGTTTCAACTATTCCATTGGCTTATTTCACAGCTATCAAGAGGAGAAATCTGTATGGAAAAATTAAAATAGATTTGTAATAATGAGATCTACTTATAGTAAATAATGTACCAGAATATCCTATTCAAATAAGAAAATCCATGTGCACTTTGGTATGATGTGCATATACATTCGATGCATTCAATAGCATATTTTGAGATATCATCATTGAATATACAGGATGATCAAATTTCAATACATTCGATGGAGCTGTTCAATTTTTTAATACGGGGGACATTTTAACAGGGACAACAGTTTTTGCAAAATTTTTCATGAGCTCTTTCACTTCAAACATCGATTTTCAAGTAAGCACTCACTTTTCTTTGGTATGAAACTTTCCTTTCCATCACATTTTTTAGTTTCCTTCATTCTTTCACAAACACTCTCTTTTTTGTCTGCAGTTTTCTTCTTCTTAGCTGAAATGATAAACGGATATATTATTCATCAAATTTTGCGAGCTAACTGTATAATTAATACCATCATCGCATTTTTTCTTATCTTCAGACTTTTTGCCGATATTTTTCACTTTATTTTGACATGATATCTTCTGACTTGCTTTCTTCTGATCTTCATCTAAAAATCATTAAATGTATTCAATTCATTCATACCTACCATAATAATAAATATGGTGTTCATAAAATTTCGTATATGCATGAGGAAGAATATTGGATTATAATTTATTATAGAAAAAGATAAATTGTATAAAATAGACACTGAAAATTTCACTCAGAATTTCATAGTCATCACACGAGATAATTACATTTATACCATCTTGATTCCGCTAGTTCCAAACTTTACCAAACAAGATTTACATGCGCTGCTTTAGCTGAATTCTATAAATTACCACATTGCAGACATATTTCAAAATTTATAATTGCATTCAAAAAACACATAAATTCATCAGTAGCAAAAAATTCGAGGAGCTTCAAAAATATTTATTCGCCTGAATTTTGTTCTGTCATTCATATATCTCTCCCAAAAGACTCGTTCATTCAACGAACAGCGAGACTCTGGAACACATTGCCAAGGGAAGTGAACTTTTGGAGATTATATGTTGTTGGGAATACTTCCACAGGCAATGAATTCCAGAGCCTAGCCGTTCTATGGATATAAGAAGAACACCAATTCCTACCTTATTTCCCTTGGTTGTCACGATGGTCTCTGAACATTACAGGATATCCTTTTTCGTGGGAACCAGAATATAAAAAAAAATATTTCATTCACTCAAACAAGGAGCAGCTCAAACTTTGAGAATTAATAGAATAATAATTATCATACCTATACTTACTACATTTTGAATGTAATGTAATACATTATGGTTTATTTTTTAATGTTTCCTGTTATAAACATATACGTCAATTGTTTCTTGGGAATAATAAAGATGATGATGATGACGAAATAGAAAAAATTGATACTTTGAAATTCACTGATTGATCACTGTTGCTATTTTATGATATGCCCGAATTAGCATTTTTTAAGATTTTTTATATTTCTTAGATTTTTCCGAGGATTTTTCGTTGTTATTTCATCATTATTGTTTGCAATCAACTTCCTCATACCAGAATTCTATTTTTGAGTAGAAGCTATTTTCTCAATAAACAATAAAAACATATACAGGGTGTCCCGAAATTACATGGAAAGATTTCAATCGCGGATTCTAGGAACAGAAATAGTAAAAAAAGACAAGAAATGCCCGATTTGGAAATGTAAAGAATTTTCCGGAATTTTAATTAGGGGCGTGGAAAATAGATGGAGCTACGAGCATTTAATTCCCCAAATTTTTTTCTATGTAATTTTCGGCAGTTCGACCAGGAATTATGAAAATATCATCATTTTTACTTGGAGATGATACGCTTATTCAGTTTCAATAGCACTCAACATTTTCGAGATACAACGATTTCAGAAGTCTGCTGCGTAACAAAAATAGTGCTATTTCCCTATAATAGAGTACTATTATTATTTTCACTCGTAATGCCACTTGAGGTGGAAAATCATCCCTCGTCTTCGAGTCGGAATAATTTTCAAAATATTTATGAGCTCTAAAGAATTTCCGGAAATAATTTGACCTCATGTGGTATCCGGTAGGAAGATTTCACACCAGATTGTGTTTGGAAATTGATTAATTTTAGAATTTATTTGTTCATTTGCATACAGGTTCATGAATAAGTTTAGTTTGGGTCGCAGTTTCGGCACCAATAATAGATTCCTGATTTATACCTATTATATTTGCATGAAAATACTAATTTGAAATGTAACATATTATATTCTCCCATTTCATATTAACCTCGGGATACTACCAGTGATAAGAAGATATAATATTGTCAATTAATTTTTTATAGGGATAGGTACATACTAGTAGTAGTAGAGAAAGGTTAGGCGGTCGCTTAGCAAGTAGGCCCTAGTGATTCTTTTTTGCCGGCCCCTGCTGCACACGTTATGTGCACATAATATCTACTATTCCTTCTCCTAATTCTCCTTTTTGAACCTACGTGGATTTCTGATGAAGGTCAGTATGTCCGTCCACCTTAGTAATTTGATATTTCTGTTGAAGCGTATCAGTACCAGAGATTTCGAATTTCAGCCTTCCATAACGCCTTACACTGGCCCAGGTAGTGGTATGACATTCTATATAATAGATCCAGTTAGGGCATCAATGGATTTTTAGCCTGGGGAAGACCACTGATTTTTTAAAACGACATTATCGTGAACTCTATACTGAAAAACTACCAGTGAATCAATTTTGAATTTTTTCATTCATGCTAAGACGATGAAAAAAATAAATTAGTATATGTCCATTTCAAAACACACAATTCCTGTGCCATTTGCAATTTCATCAATTCATTGGTGTGACTGGTGCAACGTCTTAGTCCCAACGTCCTTGAACTGACCAATTACACTGCAACACTGCAGAATGACGAGGTATTAGAGAGAGATAGCTACAGTTCGGGACTAATACGTCACGACTCCATCATCATATTTGGCTGTTTGAAATATCAAATGAAATATGCTGATTTCAAAACGATATAGATTCGATTCCCTTCAACTTCAACTCATAATATTGATTGTACAGAAAATGTAAATCATGATTCGTCGATTGAAAGAGGTTTGCACGGATTTCTTCCCTCAGTGGTCTTCCCCATTGAAGTGGCACAACATTTCTATTTTAGGAGTCAAAATATTATTCCGTAAATTCTGTCATTAAAACGCCATAAATTTGTTTTCGATTTCATGAGCTGGTGGGTACCCACAAGAAATGAATTTCCACTAAAATACACACGTTGCTATGGTAATTTGTTATAAAAACCCAATTCAATTGTTTAAAAATCACTGGTGTGGAATTTTCCTAAAAATTATTTTTTAATGGAAAATATCCTTTTTTCATTATCTACTTGTGATGTTTGACTCCAAATATGAGAGAAATAATAAAAAGAATGGTTTCAAAAATATTTTAGTAGGTAAGCAGGTAGAAAAAAAGTACAATTTTTATTGCGCAGCAGACTTTTAAAATCGATTTATCTGGAAAATGGTGAGTGCTATCGAAACTAAAGAAGAGTATCATTTCAAGGTAGGAGTGATGATATTTTCATATTTCTTGTCCAACCTGCCGATAATTGCATAGACAAAAAGATGGGGGAAGATATGCTTCTAGCCCTATACCTATTTCCCACGCCCCTGTTCAAAATTTCGTAAAATTCTCAACATTTCCAATCGGACATGGAATCAAAAATGATATTTTCAATCCTAGGTGTGTATTCATTTTCGAAAAGCATCCTCTTTATTTACGTTTTCAAACATTTCAACAATTTTGAGTAAACCTAATGATGTAAAAATCATACATAACAGTGAAATCCGTAAAACATTTATGCATTATTTACTTACATCGAACAACATTCTTTTGTTATGAAATGTGCTTACCTATGGTAATTATTTATTATGGATACACAAATGATTAAAATCTATTACTATTTACCACAGGTATTTACTCTACTTCCTTGGTTTAAGAAACTATTTCAGCAAACGAATTATATTATATTGTATTATAACATTTAAGATAATTTTATAGATAAGTCTTTCGATGATGTGCTCACAGGAAGGTATAAAAAACTGGTTTTCAAGTGTATTTCTAGTAGGCTTTGAGGTTTACGTAACCTTGAGCAATCAAAATGAAAATAGCTATATATTCATTGATGGGATGAATGTTAAGAATTAGAAAAAAAAAATTATATACATAACTAGCTGACCCGGCAAACGTGCCATAAACATTATTTCTAGTTTGGCTATATATATATCTATAAAATCGAGTTATTCAATCTTCCATTTATTTCCTACTCCGTTTCAGTTCCGCAATTTATGTCTTCATTTTTTTCTACTTCTTTTCAGTTTGGCTACCTATAAAAGCGTGTTATTAGTTTTTCAAACGACTATTTATCACAATAGCTGACCGGGCAAACGTTTTTTGCTATATACATTCATTTCTATAAAATATCCTTTTAGTTAAATATTTATCAACACTCTTTCATTATTTCGTATTTTTCTTCATTCTGGTTTGGCTATTCATGAAAACGAGTTTCTTTAGTTTTTCAAATTATTTTCTTTTTCTATTTCTTTCTAGTTCGACAATCTATCTCTCAAGTTTTTGAAGCTATACTATCTATTTTCTACTTCTATTTGGTTCGGCCTCGAGTTTGGCTATCTATAAAAGCGTGTTTCCATATAGTTTTTCGAACTACCATACATTACCATTTCCAATTTTGAAAAAAAAGTCGTTTGAAAAAATCCCATCAAACCCGGCATTTTTGAATTTGTAATAATGAACTCTACTTGAATATGGAATAATATACTGGCTGTCCTAATTCGAATGGGAAAGTAGCAGTAGCAGGAAGGAAAGTACCTATACCTTCGATTTATTCAATAGCATATTTCGAGTGAGCATCATCGAATATACTGAGTGACCAAATTTCAAGTCATTCGATCGCGCGGTTGATTTTTTACAGGGGGTGACTTTTTAGCTGGGACACGGTGTATTGTATACATCCTTTTTTTTATTTTCATAATTATATCTGAGAATATTCCTTTTCAATACTTCTCAAACATGTTACAAACAATATAAAGCATTGAACATTGAACATAGATCATTGAATCAAGATTTAGGGCTCATCTTCACCAGCCTCAGCCTACTGTCCCAGCAACTGGTTTCTCAATTTATTTTTCAACTCATTTTGGAAAATTATGAACTCTGATACTTGAGAATGTCTGATTGATGCTCGATATTGTAATTATTTATATTTTTCAATCATCATTAACAATTCTAGTCACAACAGAAGAGTTGTTTGATATATAATGACAATATTTTGATCTTACGTTGCAAAGAACCGATTGCAGATGTCCTAGCCGAGAATGACGATGAACACTGTGAGAAAATTGTTGCTGATTGCTCTCGTGGACTATAATAATTATTCATTAACTAGCGGTTTTGCGGGCGTAAAGTACCTACTTCTCTGTTCTCAAATTCCTTAAATCCACATACCAATTCATGAAATGACTATGTTCGCACTTTGAGCTGATTCTATAATTTTCAGCGGTAAATTGAATACATGTTCTACTTCATCCCATTCAATAAATCTTATCAATTCCACAGGATGACAATTTAGCTAGAATTGTTGATGTATCACTAGACAACAGCCATTCAGCTTGATTGACGTCAAAATTAGGTCGATATTGTATACTGAGTATGCATTTTTTAACATTTCAAGAAATGAATCTCTGTTGAGCACTTGTTATTTCACAACAGTTTTGAAATCTAACGAGGTGGAAAATGGTATTCCATTCCATTCCATGCTTACATACATACGAAAACCATATATTCCGTACAAAAATCAGACACACATCGACTTTGTTCCTCTGAACAATTGTCAGGAAGATCTAATATACCCTGCTCATTGCCATTCATTGCTTATCTTTGGCTGAAAATAACTTACCACCCTTATTTTGGCATGGTTTTGGTTGTGCGCAAACTTTTTTCATATTCTTCCCCTGTTCTTCTTCCTTCGGCTTGCATCCCTCTTTAGTGTTTTTCGAAGATTTCGAATCATCCTCCTTATTAACTTCTTTTTTCATCCTCTTGCAATCAGGTTTTGGCGCTGCTTCTACGTCGGATTTTCGTTTCTCTACTTTTTTGCCCTTCTCACTATTTTTGTTATAATCTCGAAAACAAGACGAATCTTGTTCACTCTTCAACAAATTTCCCTGCTGGTTTTTGCCGCCACTATTTTCAGTTTTGGTTTTCGCTTTTTCATCTTCCATTGATTTTTTTGTGATGTTGCTTTCGTTCGCGCATAGATCGCCATCCATTTTGTCATCAGATTTTTTCCAAGGATACTTATCTTTCTTGGGAGAGGTGGCTGCAAATATTCAAATTGTATTATATTATCTCTTGGAGCGCACGAAAGGAACTTCCTATATAATGTGTTGGCATTTCATTTAACTTTTGTGGATTATACAGGGTGAGTCATGAGGAACTGTACATGCTCCTACTACGAATAGAGGCATCTGAGGGGAATACCAAATGACCATCAGAAAGTGTCTCCGCCTCTTCTAAAATAATCTATAGGGTGATTAATGAGATATGGCAAAAACTTCTTTCAATCATAACTTTCCAACAGTTCTTTCGATTTCTTTCATTTTTTCATGGATTATCATGCTGTCACTCAGCAATCAACTGACGTATTCAGAATCGTGAAAATCCAGGACCGGTCTTGAGAAATTCTGCCAATTTGGTCCATATAAAAAATTTCACCCTGTATGAGGTTTTAGTAAACTGTGATATGGAATTTCTGAAGTTGATGAACAGGCAACTAAAATGAAGTATTTCAAATTTTCCTCACAATTTCATTGAATTTCTTAAAAAATGATTAATTTAAACTACACACGAAACTTGGTCAATAAATGTATTAATTTGAAAATTAATACTTCGCAACGCATGAATTTCACGAATGAAAGTAGGGATAATATCATTCTCAATTCTTCAGCTCAACAATAATCAACATTCTTCTATTTCCAGGGTTGGATTCAGTAATTTTTTAGTAGAGAGTAATAATCACCAAAAATCACACCCTGTATATGGTTTTAGTAACCTGTGATATGGAATTGTCAAAGTTGATGAACTGGCAACCAAAATTAAGTATTTCAAATTTTCCTCAGAGTTTCACAGAATTTCTTAGAGTACGATCAATTTTCATTACACGTGAAACTTTCGCAACAAATGTATTAATTTGAAAATGAATACTTCGCACCCCTAGAATTTCACGAATAGAAGCAAGAATAACATCATTCCAGGGTTGGATTCAGTAAATTTTTGGTACATGGTAATAGTCACCAAAAATTGCACCCTGTATATGATTTTAATAAACTGTGACATGAAATGTTCGGAGTTGACAAACAAGAATCAGGAATAATTTTACCTTTACTTTTATTGGTGAAATTCACGCATTGCGAAGTATTAATTTTGAAATTAATACATTTGTTGCCCAAGTTTCGTGTGTAGTTTAAATTAATCATTTCCTGAGAAAGTCAATGAGAGTGTGAAGAAAATTTGAAATACTTCATTCTGGTTGCCTGTTCATCAACTTTAGAAATTCCATATCACAGTTTACTAAAACCTCATACAGGGTGAAATTTTTGATATGAACCAAATTGGCAGAATTTCTCAAGACCAGTCCTGGATTTTCACGATTCTGAATACGTCAGTTGATTGCTGAGTGACAGCATAATAATCCATGAAAAAATGAAAGGAATCGAAAGAACTATTGGAAAGTTATGATTGAAAGAAGTTTTGGCCATATCCCATAAATCACCCTATAGATCATTTTATAAGAGGCGGAGACACTTTCTGATGGTCTTTTAGTATTCCCCTCAGCTGCCTCTATTCGTAGTAGGAGCATGTACAGTTCCTCATGACTCACCCTGTATGAGTTCTTGGGTATATTTCCATTGGCAAAGAATTTCAAAGCTTTGCCGTTCTATAAACGAACGTGTTTTGAAGAAATAATTATTTAGTTACAAGTAATTTTCACTTATAATATCACGAGATGCTTCTATAGGAGAGTGGACTAGTTTTTTCTTATTTATCAAATAGAATCATCACTCGAATACCTTTCAATTTCATATTTTGGTAAACATTTTCAATCGATTTTTAGGTGCTAAAGTCATCAATAATGCAACGGTAATTTCCGAACGTCTAGAAATTTACCGCCTTTGAAAACTGACGCCACGATTTCGTAAAAAGGGGCAGACCATAGCACAGTTGCCATTTGTTGAAATACGATTGGGAACCTCAGAAATATTAGTTATTCAATAAATAATTCATCAATTATCAATTGAGTATTGGTAAATCGCGATAAAAAATAGCACGTCGCACACCTGACGGCAATAACTTGACCTAGAGTTCCTGAATGCACTTGACAATGCTGCTTTTGACGTTTTTTGTATATCAGTGTACGGACACTATGAAAAGCACCGACAATCGGACATAACCACAAATAAACTGATGGAAAAAGCGGGAACTGACAGTTCACGGACGTACATGACATAAATTTCAAAGGTTTGACAAATTGAGAGAATTAGGAGAAAGATGCAAGTTTGTGCAGTTTCCAACTGTGAGAACACGGAAAATCAATTCACTCTATTCTGATTCTACAAACGTAGCCGGCATGGAATATAGGTTCAGGCCACAAAATTTGCGAGGTGTTTACATTTCTTGGTATATAGGAAGTTGAAGAATATAGGATCGTATTGAGATAAAGAGCCGAACCCACAATTCATAAACTGAGCGAGTATCGAAAAAAACCTTATTCCAATTTAGACTCTGGTTATTGCTTGCGATGGAATGATGGAGCAGAGATCACAATAGCCACCATGGAGATAATCTGATGATGAAATAACAGAAACTTCCTGAATTGACTGACTCAATCTGATTTCACATCCCTGTTCAACCAAGAATTATTTAGATCATCTTCGTATACGAACTCTTATAATAATTTTGTGAAAACATATAGTCACTATGTGGAACTCTGACGCACCAGATAGTGATGTATCTATATCAAAGAGTTGAATACATTGTTCGTGTATCACTTCTTCGGAGTTGGAATCCCAAGTCTGGATGTGCATGTTCATGCGTAGTTGAGAATTGCTAGACGACTACATAGCTCCTAGTGGATTTTGAACCACTTCTTGGGTACAAGCAAGATATTATCAGAGCACAGAACAAGAACGCATCATTTATGTTAGGTATTGAAAATGATCTTCCGATGGCTGGGTTCAACCAACAGTCCCCTTTAGCAATGTGAACGGCGATCTATAGTGAGTCGAGCCCATTTATACCTACTTCCGTATGTCTTGGAGAACCTATATTATTTATCCTAACTGAAATCAGCTGTTATTGTTGCCATATCATTTGTTCATTTATTAATTACTTATAACTTACCACTCTTTGGTAGTAATGAAATTCATCAGTTTTTACTCCATTCTGAACTTTTGTGATAAGCAAATATTCAACTGAACGAATTTATCTACCTACATATAAGAGACTAATTCCATAAGATTACTATGTGTGTTTCGTTGATGTATAATATGTACCTACTAACTTGATATCGACCTCCATTAAGGTCCTTCAGCCTTATCATTCGATATTTCGAGAAGAAATAATTTTTTAATCAATTTATCGTACCCTTCTACCCACTCGAGGAGACGCTATGCCCTCTCATACAAAAATCAAAGACAGAGAAAGATATATGGATGTACTCTTCCCAGGACTTGTGGAGGATGGAAAATGCGAGGATCCTTTATCTAAGCTAAAAACATATTCTTGTCCTTGTCTCGCAAAACATATGATTTGCTTCAAAATCGTTTGTGGTTATGTTTGATTGTTACTGCTTGTCTAGTGTCCGTACTCTAATATACAAAAAACGTCAAAACAGCAGAGTCAAGAACATTTAGGAACTCTAACTTGAACAACTCTGAGTGGTTTGTTTTGATGATGTGACCAATAAGTACAAACAGAAAACAAGTGTGAACTAATAAAAACTAAGCAAACATGCCGCTTGGGCAGCTTTCAAGAACTCCGATACAGTGGCGGCTCGTGACTTTCATGACAGAGGAGGCTGAATGATGAGATTTATTGTGAAAAACAACTCTCTACTCACCCAAATCAATAGCTTTAATGACATTCTGTTTACCAGTTAACCTGAATTTAATATTTGAAGAGATGTGTTCCTGTGATTTGCTGTGTCTATCCAATCCGCGAGGCAAATTTTTCAAATCATTATATCCTAATCGTCCCCAACATGATGATTTATCGGTTGAAAATAATACGCAGTACCAACAAAATAGCTTATTCCTTACCTCAGATCCCGTCAGCCATATATATTTTTTATAATTATCAGAATTGAATGAACGATTTTGTTTGTTACCTGTTACGCAATCAGATTTTTTAATGTCGGTGTCGGACGTTTGTTTTTCACAATCAATTTATCTTCATAGGACAAGGCACTGAATGGGTTCACCAAAAAGTATTCCACTAAATCGCAATCGTTTTTAAGACACTCATTTTTCCGAAATTTATAGAGCCCCTAACCAATAACCTAACATAAACATAAACACTGCATTCGCGCTCGACTGTCCGCAATTCGCGTCGCGACACGACAACAAACACGTGCTATTCGGGGATTTACATGTGATTTACATTGCGCGATGCGCGCGTTGGTTGCGCAATGTCACGGTCTGTGGTCTAGCCTCCTATAGATGTTGCCAAGTTGAATATTTTACGCGTGATTTACAGCATCAACGTGTGATGCGTGGGCAAGCACTGTTGCCAATTCAAAAATATTTACATAAAAACAGGAAATAAAATCAAAATCTATGTATTTTGGTGTCCTTTTAATGAGAAAGTATAGATAATATCAGTTTAAGGAAAATCTCTGAGGAGGCTCAGCCTCCTCTGCCTCCTCTGAGGAGCCGCCACTGCTCCGATAGGTGGCGTACCCTAATTTTGTATTGCGAATATTCCTTATTAGCAATTCGTTTCAAAATGTTCACCTATGATTTGTGGCTCATTGCTTATAACACATTTGTGTAAATAATAATTATATTAATTCACATTGTAGGATATTTGAATCGGTGAACGTGCCAACACGGCGCACGACTTGTGGGCGATGTCTTGTCAGCTCTCAGCATACAGCACAATGTTGCCAAGACTCCAACATTTATATGATATTTTGTTATGGATAATGGGAAATAGTTGGACATGTTGGTTGCTCGAAACGGTCCAGAATGAACTATAATATCATGGGTTCCTCCTATTATGTTTTATTCAAGGACAGAAATCTAACATCGTTTTGATGACTTCAGTGTAATCGGTGACTTGACAACCTTGCTTCATGAGTGAAAATGGAAGATCATCTGACCAATAACGAAACAGCATAAAAACTGACGTCAGGACGTCACCATTTATTCGACGTATCCACAAATAGCGGTCATGACGGTACATTTGAAATAAGCACTGAACTGACTCAGGAAGCTAGAGTGGTATTCGGTAAGAAAATATGAATAAAAAAATATCAGGATGAGATTACGCTGGAAATGATACAAAATATCGCCTTCAGTTACGCAAAATATTGATAAGACAGCTGGAGGTAGCTCAAACCATTATTTTTGAACAACTTTATATATTCCACGTAACGGAGGAAACTGAACACTTCTGCAATGCCACTGACTCGTTAATATTTCATTTCGGAGAGCTTCCTCAGTTATAGAAATCTTTGTTTTCAAATTTTGATGAATGACGCATAGATCAGAAGTGTGTTTAGATCTATGACTGATGTATATGAGGAGTTCCTGATGAAGAGGTATATTAATCACATTTTCACATACCTACCGTATACGTTTACTTACATTTTTGCTTAGACTGCTCTTGCTCTTTTGTACAATCATTCTGTTTAGAGTCAGACTTTGGCTTACACATTTCTTTGAATTCTTCATGCTTTTTTGAACAACTCTTATTCTTGGAATTCGACTTTGACAAGCACCTTTCCTTGAATGTCTTACGTTCTTTTGTATCATCTTTGGAAGCCGACTTAGGCTTTTCTGCACACGTACTTTTTGGTTTATCCTTTGTAGTGGTACTAGAAGTCTCTGCACACGTACTTTTCGGTTTATCCTTTGTAGTAGTACCAGAAGTCTTGAGTTTATCGGCGCAAACATTTTTTGATTTCTTCGTTGTGCTCGTATCAGAAGAATTTGCTTTTCCGCTAGATTTATTATCACCTGAAATGAGTTGCCCTTGCATTGAAGACATTGATGGGTTCTCTCACATGATTGGTTCATTTATTCTTGCTACTGACCAAGTGATGAGTTCTCAATATTTTTCAAATGTTACCGTAAAATGGGGCTACTTTGTGCAGGTATTGAGGTATTTTTTATCCTAGACGCTGTATTCATAATTGAATCGACTTGAAAAAAATCTAGTGTAGCAATATAGGTCATACCTATAACCTCTCATAAAATGGTGTTTTTACGATGGAACGTTCTCGAGAAAAAAATTTCAATTTCACGAAAAGTTTGCATCTGCACATGAAAAGTAATTGCCTTCGGAAATAGTCGGTTTTTCAATCAGATACTAGGACGTAATATGTGATTTCTTGTAAAAGTCGACGAAAAAAATATATTTATTCGTCTGAAGTTTGTCATGTCATCCATATAGAGATAAAAATAAATATAACATAACAATTATTTTAATCATTCTAGCTCACCTGTATTTTGTTTGCATAGCTCTCCACATTGTTTGAATTTACTCTGATCAGCTTTTTCTGAATTTGATTTACATTTTTTGGATGCAGATTTCTTCTTACTTTCCATCTGACATATTTTCGAATGATTCGTCGGTTTGAACGTCATTTGTTTGTCAGTCTTCTTTTTACAACGGTCACCATGCTTGCCATCTCCACTATTTTCTTTTGAAGCTTGTTTCTTCTTGATTTCCTCGTAGCAAATGCATTGGAGCTTATTAGAATCTGGTTTATCTTGTTCAGAATCTTTAGCTTCCTTGGTTTTGCAAGGGTCAGAATCTTCTTTGGATTTTTTCGAGATGAATCTTTCTTGATAAATGCTCCATCGCGGTGCTGTGTTCCAGGGATATCTGTTTCGTTTCCTGTAAATTGCGAAAGTCATGGTACCAGGTTTCTTGTTGGGTTTATTTCCTGATGATCCTGCTGGGGCAGAACTAGAGAAACCTCCGAAAGTACCCTTGAGTTCTGGCATAGAGTTGGAGTTCGTGACACTCGAAGATGCGCCTTTTTTGCCAGGCTTATTTTTGCTCGGGCAAAAAACTCTGCATATACTGGAGAACAATCCCTTACAGTTATCTAGTAGGTTTTTTTTGGGAGGTTCTTGTTTTGGCAGTTGAGCAGTGAGTTTTGGAGATCGTGGAGGAAGGGGTGTATCTTCATTTGTTTTAGTGTATTTTTTTGGCTTGCTTTCACATGGTTTCGGTGCAGCCTGCTTGGCTAGAAATAAGAGTGATAATTTATTATGTAGAAATAGCGGATCTTGATCAGCGTCAGTATAAGAATCAGATATCATCACATTGTCGCTATACAGGGTTTTCGGAAAGCTGATTTTGTAAATGATAGGGCTGATATAGTGAGTCAAAATAATGTCAGTACTTTATATGGAAAAATGTCTCCCGCACTTCGTTACGGAGCTGTTGGCCTTGGAAGTTTGGATAAAAAACATATATTTATTTATTTATTGAACAAATAACTTCCAGACAGAATAGGCTATGGTATAAGGAAGTACATAATTATATACCTATAGGTAAACATATCATTATTCGAAATATATCAACAACTATAAATGGGCAAACAAAGAAAAATATTTGTGAAAAAAAATGGCATGATTGATTTTACCCAGTTCGCTCAGAAATAATTAGTTTTTTCACTTCATTTTTGAATGTATCTATATTTCTGCAATTTTTTATATTGTCAGGTAGTTTATTGATTATAGAGCTAGCGGCGTCAAGATGAACAAGTTATATTGTCTAGTTTCATGATTATGAATTTCAGAATTCCGTATCAAAATAAAATTCGACTTCAATTTTTTATTTATGATATTATATGATATTTTAAGAGTTTCAATTCTATATATTTCATCTAAATAATACGTTATTGTTATTTCTTACAATTAATTGGTTGGTGTATCAAATGGGAGACGATACAATACTTTTTACGATTTTCTATATAATGTTGATATTTTATTGAAATTATTTTTTGAACAAGATCCCCAAACATTTATTAAATAGTTGATACGACTCAGTATATGAGAGTAGAGAATCATGTTTGCAATTTTAATATCAAGTTTGGGACATCTTCTCAATGCACCAATAATTGAAGATATTTTTTTTGTCAGAACATCAATATGTTTGTCCCACTTCAACCTGTCAACAAACCAAATACCAAGATATTTTATCTGCTCAGTTTGTTTTAAGAGTTCATTTCTTATTTTGAGGTTGAGGTGAATTTTTTGTTTATTTTTCATTTATGTATGTAAGGGAGGTCCGCCAACAGTGGCCATGTTTATGTTCGGTGGTACAGTGGCCATCCTCTTGAATTATCAGGCTATGAAGAATACTTGTCGCGTCATCTCGTATAGAGCTTGCATTGTTGTCTGTGCCAGTTTCATTTTTTTTTGTTAATTTTTGATCGATACAAGTTACGTATATTAGTGCATCCATCTTAAAAGGTAAGTTTTCTGATGTGAATTCATATTCATCATGAGATTTGATCTATTTGAACTACCTTATGAGGTAAAGATGTGAGATATCGAAGGATTATTTTGAGGTTAGATCGAAATGGTTCCAATTGAATTTATTGGTACAGTGCTCACCATTCAATTAAGAACAGTGGCCACTGGCTTTTAAATAGACCACTGTTGCCCTATATTCGATTTCTTATCGCAGAAAGTAATCATGACTCGATCAAAATCAAAAAATCCTGGTTCAATTGAAAATGTCCCTTCATGAACTATGGAAAATGCACTTTGTAGTATAAGAGAACATGGACTTCCTGTGAAAGCAGCTGCAATACGATTCAATATTTTCAAAACTACTCTCAGATTATATCTCACGAAATTTCAAGGATTTGATATAGCGAATGTATTTGTGAAAGAACAACAGCTCTGCAATTACCTTCGAATTTGAGCAGAATTGCATCATGGACTAACACCTAAGAATATCCGAAAATTTGTGTATTCATTGGGAGTGGCAAACAGAAAGCGAATTCAGCATCAGTCTGGGCAAGAAAAGCAAATAGCATGTATTGCGATTTTCTGATCAATAAAAATATGGTTTAGTGCATATTGACGGTATGGCCATTGTACCATTCGTTTCTGGCCACTGTACCATACTAATTGAGAACAGTGGCCACACACCAAATTTTTACAAAAGCCACCCAACTGGACATTTTGCATTTTCCTCATAAACATTATTTATTTATTTATTTATTGAAAAAGTTACTTCCAGTCAGAATCAAGTTCTGGTATAAGGAAGTATAGTTAACAATAATACCTAAAACTATACAATTATGATAAACTAATAAATATAATATTTGAAAACATTGAGTATTAAATTTCGACAAATCATTTCATATTGGTGAGCAAAAATCAATTTGAATATGAATCAAAAGTTGAGGAAAAAACAATCATCTATTTCGTTCAGAAATGATAATTTTTTTAAGTTGGTATTTGAATTTTATTGTATTTCTGCAATTTTTTATATTATCTGGTAATTTGTTATATTCCAAGAGCGTGGGTGAATCTCTTTTGGCCTATAGATATAGAAGAATTAGCCATATCAAGATGAAATAAACCATGTTGTCTAGTTTGGTAATTATGAATTTCATTGTTTTGTGTTAAAATAAAATTAGATTTCAATCTTTTATTTATGATATTGTATGTAATTTTCAGTCATTCAATTTCGAACATTTCTTCTAATGAGAATGATTCAGTTATTTCATATAATTGATTTGTTGGTGTATCATATGGTGAACGATTCACTACTTTCAATGTCTTTTTATATAATGCAGATATTTTATTAAAATTGTTTGTGTGCTTTGTATATATTGAATTTATAATCAATATTTAATCTAAATATTTTTAAGAACTTGAAAATTTTTTACAAAAAGTTTATAATAATTATCTAATTCACACACAGGTCAATAACCTATGTGAAGTAAATAAAATTTAGAATTTTTATAATATTAGAATATGTATGTCTTTGTAAATGTATTCATATGAGAATAAATAAATAAATAAATAAATATTTGCAACTTTTTTATTCAGCTTGGGACATCTTCTCAGGGCTCCAATAATGGGATATATTTTTTTCTTCAAAACATTTATATGTTTGTCCCACTTCAATTTATCATCAAACCAAATCCCTAGATACTTTTTCTCATTAGTTTGTTTCAAAGATTCATTTTTAATTCTGAGATTTAAATTTATATTTTGTTTATTTTTTTGTTGAAAAATCATATATTCAGTTTTATCAGTATTTATTGATAAGAGGTTTGAATACAGCCAATTTTCAAATTTCATCAAGTCTCTGTTTATTATATTTTCTAAAATGATAGGATTTTTATTTTCATATAAAAGTACCGTGTATCGTCTGCATAAATAGTGTAATTACATTCTGTATCAATTTTCGTGATATTTTGAATATATAATAAATATAAAATTGGTCCTAAAACAGATCCTGGAGGGACACCTTTAGTCATCGGTAGTCTATGAGACTCTGAGTTGGTAGATTTGGTACTGAATCTAGTTTTACCACTATTGATCCAATTCTAACTCTGCAAAGATTTCAGATCTTCAAGATATCCAGATACAGGGTGTTACAGAACTATGAGATCAAACTTCTGGGGGTTATTCAGTGCTGCAGAAGAAAAATTTTAGGTAGTGGGACCCATGTTCGGAAAAGTGTCACTACTACGGATGATTTTTTTAAACTCAATGAAATTATTGGCAATCTTCTGGGACCGATTTGGTTATGGAAAATATTCTGATAATATCGTCTATGTGATGATCTTTGGATTTCTAATCCTATCAAGCATCGAACTGTCATTGCATTCGTGCCACAGCAAACTACATGTATTTCAATAAAATGCAATTTAACAGCCAATTAATGAACGAATATCGAATTGTTATACATAGTTGAATAGAGAATTTCAAGGCGAATAAGATAGACTACAGAAATATACAGGGTGCCATATAAAAAAATGTTGGGTCTACTTCCAATCAAACAGGTGGTTGAAAAAAAATTGTCATTGGGTTCAAAGGAAGTGCCATCATCGTTAATATAACCCTTGTGAATTTCAAATTTCTATCTTTTCAACTAAAAAAACTACAGGCTGCTACATATAATGATGATAATTTTATCTGAGAATATTCCTTTTCAATTCTTTCACCCAATCAAGGAGTTCAAACTTGAACGATTGAAACTTGTTATTTTTATAGACCTTCAATCGCGGATTCGTGATTAGGTTTCATCAATTCAGAATTTATTTCCACGTCCTGTATGATGAATATCAATATATCATACATACTTCTTATTTTCACTGGAAACCAAGAATCTTTCGGCGCTTGTTTCGGTTCCCGAACTGGCTTCGGTACGATATTTTGCGGAACAGCTGGAGCAGGCATTCTGGTGCACTTCACCTCAGGCTTCGGAACAGACACTTCCGCTTTGATCGTCGGCTTAGTGCAATACCGAGTGTCTGTTTTGCTAGGGGGGTCGCATTTCGGCGGCGGCTCCACCTTTGGCGGAAGCGGTTTGGGACGGGCAGGGGCGTTCTTCCTTTCCAGTGCCTTTGCTGCTTCTTGTTCTTTGCTGATGATTTCTTGGCAGCAAACTTGCTTGACATCTATAAGTAACAGTACAGGCCAGTCATTAATAATAATAATGATGAAGATCGAAAGCCCTAATTTCGAGTGACAATGAAAAATGAAAAAACTCCACCGCCCAGCGTGAGAGTCGAACTCACAACCTCTGGGTTACATGCCCAACGCTCTGCCAATTGAGCTAACGGGACATCCGTCGATCAATCGGCAGAGAGGTCGAGTTCTCATCACACACCAGGCGGCAGAATCCTTTCAACTTCCGAAGTCACTCAAAATTATGCACTATACGAAGCATCGCTGGCAGGATGGTACCATGGTACTATACAGTCTCCATATTTTCCCGTTCGTCCTGCCAGAGGCAGATCGTTGGGCATGTAACCTAGAAGTTGTGAGTTCGTCTCTCACACGGGCGGTGGAGTTTTTTCATTTTCCATTGTCACTCGAAATTAGGGCTCTCCATCTTCATCATTATATGTATCTTTTCGGCTGAGTAACCGATAATTATTATTTGTTTTACTAGGCAGGAGAGTAGTAGACTTCAGCCTAGGCAGTCAATCTACACTCACCGGCAAAATAAACCGGCCACCAAAAAATTTGCCCAAATTGGTCACACTATAACTTCTTCAATCCATGTCGGATTTTTGTGAAATTGAGATCAAATCGTAGATTCATGTTCCGGAATGTTAGCCTGAATATTAGTTTTCCTGAAAAGCTGATGACTTGATCATTATACAGGGAAAAGCCAAAGTGTCTCTTCCACCCTATACTTCTCAACGCCCTGTGGCAGAATTGCGTGATTAAACATGGCTTCATTATGCTTCGGATTGAAGTGTGATCCCTCCTAAACACAAAAGTTTCTGATTCACGTCAATATCTTATTTTTAAAAGAAGATACGAGTGTTTTAAGGAAGTATGATGTTTTTCAACTTTTACCAATAATCAGAACTTACATGAACTTATTGATTAACAGCAACTTCAAGGATTAATATCACATATTTCTACCTTACTTTCCGGAAAATCAATTACAAAAAACAAACAAGAAGTAGACCTGTAGTCAATAACGACTAACGAGTATAATGCTCTCCTCGATATTGAATTACAGCATTCAACCGCAGTGGCATCGCATTGATCAAATTACTCAAGTAACCTTGAAGAATTGCCTGAAATCCTCCTTGAACGGCGAATAGCGGGGCTCTTGAAAAGTATCTGACAAGGCTGGGCGAAGGCGAATGAGCCTCTAGACGTCACCCCTAAGATAGGTGGATAGGTTCTGAATTATTGTTACTGAAAATTTATAAAATCTATACTTCCTTGAAACACTTGTATCTCCTCTCAAACAGGAGATATTGATGTTATTGATGTTACCGTTGTATGAAGAAGGAACAAAAGAGGATCACACTACAATTTAAAACATGATGAAGCAGAAGGTTGGAGAATGGTTCTGAATTATTGTAAATGAAAATTTTGAAAATCCGTACTATCTTGAAACACTTGTATCTTCCTTTGAAAACTGATTATCGACGTGAATAAAAAACCATCATGTAGAGAAGAGATCACTCTTCAATCCAAAACATAATGAAGCTAAAGTTAAATCACTCACCTTTCCCACAGGGCGTTAAGAAGTTAAGGGTGAAAAAGTAACTTTCCCTCTCCCCTGTATAATGATCGAGTCATCAGATTTTCTTAGGAACTAATATTCAGGCTAACATTTGAAAACATGAATCTACGATTTCGTCGGAATTCCACCAGAATCGGACCAGGATTGAAAAAGTTACAGAGCAAACAATTTGGCTCAATTATTTGGTGGCCGTTTTTTTTTGCCGGTGAGTGTATATTTGCTGCCGTGTGAAACATAGAATTTTTTGCCAAGTGATGATGATGATTTTTTGTTGAATCTCGATCATTTTGTCTTCACCCAATGTCAGTGCCAATATTGATTACTAATTTCATTAGAATTTCTTGGAACGTTGCATAGCAACAAACTTCTCCTGCCTAGGCAGTAAAAGTACACCTTTTCTGCCTGTTAAGCGGCAGGAAAAAGCCACTATCCCTGCGGCTTGGAGAAAAAAAATCTGACTGACATGAATGTGTTTGATCCTGTTTGTTGTTCATTTTCTCAAATATGTCAATATGTCATTATCGTCTTATACAAACCTGACATTGGAGGTAACGATTGACATACCCAAAGTATCCGTTCAAAATAAATCGTTTGATGGAAAGTTCTGGTTGTTCATCATCAGAGAGTGAAGAAGGATATTTCACTAATCACATAATCTGACCAATCACAAAGAGACAACTCCAACATCAGCGTTGGTGTTTTCAACAATGTAACCACGGATAGCGAAGCAAACTCTGTCATTTTGGCTTAAAATAATTATAGCTGTAGTTGTCATTTATAATAAATTCTTTTCATGCTTCGTGAACGTGAAGTAGAGTAGCAAAATACCACTTTGTTCTGAATATCTTCTCATAATTCTCTTTCATTTTTAACTCAATTGTGTTGCCGTACAGCAATATCACGACTCGTCCTGACGACTTGTGGTGTTGATCGGCAACACAATTTGGGAACAATGAAGCGACAGAATTATCTCGAATATTCAGAACATCCTGATATTACTCATGATAATATAATGGTTCTCAGGAGAGAGAAATATACAGACACAGGCAGAAATATAATGATATGGAATTCTTCCAGAGATTGATAGAACCAATTCCGTGCTTTGACAGCATATGAACGGTCGAAACAGAGACCATCAGTGTTTTACCAATTATTGTTATCAACAAAGATCGTGTTACCTATTTTTGTTTTCGGTGTTTGTGGAAGATCGGAGCATGGTTTATCGTAAAATCCCTTCCTTCCTAGAGGCTTGCAACAGTTTGGTGGTTCTGTGGGCTCCATACTCTTTTGCGTGCATGATCGTTGTTTACAATTTGAGACGTCATCTGAAAGCAAGAAAATAATGAAAGTTAGTGTCCTACACACACTCTTGAATCACTCATCCTTCAATTTATTTTTTCGTGCTTTTCAAACAACCAACAGCTGAATGATGAAAGAAGAACATCTTCGGAGCTGAAGCGTTTTAGCTTGGAAACATGTCTTCTGCTGTACCTTGGCACTAATTATTATTTGTTAGAATCAACGGATTGATATCTGGTAAATGCTTATGCAATAGTTTCAATCAACTATAATTACTGCATTATAATATATGATTAATTAAACAACTATTTTAGCGAAATGAAGGTGACAGGTAACATAATTATCTGCATTATGGAAATGAATCGTTAGTGATTGGAAGAATTGCACACAGGTACTTGAACTTCTTCAACATGTGGATTTCGAAGTTTCCAGTCAGGCCGGGATGCATTCAAACATTCCGGTATAGGATTCGGCACCTGCTTAAATTCTATTGGCCGATTTTGATTTATCTGACCAATTGAAGGCGGAGTGCCGAAATTCGTACCAGAACGTTGAGCGGTGCTGAAACACAGGTCGGATTGTTGATGAAATGAAAGCTCGAGATAATGTGTAATGAACACATTTTTCAATAACTTTAGAAATTTTCATTTATACTCATGATGATTATTTGGTATAAAAGTTTTAAATGAATGATTATATGTGATAAAATGAGATAATAAATTCGAAATAACAATCATTAGAACACCTAATGTCTGTTAATGTCCTATTCCATGGGACTTAGCGTTTGGTTGATTTCTCGCCACGTTACCTGCCAAACTGCGTCTTCGTCTTCTTCGAATACATTTCATGAGCAAATAAATTTTTTTTTAAAAAACATGAAATTGTTACCTGTACAAGAATCTTTTAATATTTGTAGGGCCTGATTTAAAACGTCATGATGTAAACGACTGAGCTTCATAATCATTCATCCATTGCACAACTTCTCTGTTTCATTCTTCATATTGCCCCTGTACAAATTTTCTGAAACTTTTATTAATCTTTCCATAATTAGTGATTTATGGTATACTTCACTAATTGATTATTGCACTTAACTATAATAACAAGATTGCAGGTTTGTTGTTAGCATGTGGGAATGACGGTATAATAAAAAAATACGCAGGTTAGGTAAATGCGAGGGTAAATGTAAACGAAAACCGCGCAAAATGCAGGGCAACATTCCGACCTGCTTTTCAGCACCGCTCAACATTCTGGTACGGATTTCGGCACTTCGCCTTTAATTGGTCAGACAAATCAAAATCCGCCAATAGTATTTGAGCAAGTGCCGAATCCTATACCGGAATGTTTAAATGCGGCCGGGATTAACAGCTATTTACGCCCTAGGCCATAGTTCTAAATAATTTCACTCCCTTCCAGTAGTGTGAAGTGAATAAACTCGTTTGAGAGATCTCTGGGGATTATTGGAGCTATTAACACATATTTCTTTCATTTTATCTGATTTTCTCTCCTCGTTTCTATAAAATGAAAATATAAGTATCATTTCAATATATGTGCAGTAAGAAAAATCGGATGATTTGCCCCAGAATGTCACTGCGTTTAACAAATTTTTCTATCAGGGAGCCTAAAAGAAAAATCGAATAGCTTGTCAGTGACACTTTGTTCGGAAGAATGTTTGAGAGAAGAAATATAGATATTTTGAAAAAATATCGAATTTTCACTTATCATTGGACGTTTCGGGAACGAATCTGCTCCCGTTTTCAAAATGAAAATGCAAAATATATTTATTCGAAAATATTTTTCTTATAGTTTGACACCTCTCAGTGAACATACTGATGTTGGCATATGGATCAGTGATGATGTATACAAATGAGTTACAGGATGTTTTTATCAATCAATTTTGAATCTACCATTTTCATGCTAAGTTTTCAGTAGTGAATACCATGTTCTATCTATATCAACTGAACACGAAGCAATGCTATTGTCTCCGTTCAGAAGAATGCAAGCAGATTCCTTAATATTTCTCGTTCGGTTATTATCTTTCTTTCCTATGATTTTAATTCCATTCCACTCTGCCATATTAGCTGTCCATTTTTAGTGAGGATATGTTCAGTTAGGTTTGATTTATCGATATGTCTCTTCTTGATATTGTATACTTGTGTTGATTCATCCTTACTAAGAGAGCAGGTCTCTTCGTTTCACCTCTATAATACTTTCCACAAACAAAAGGTATACTATGAATACAATTTCGTGATGATTGTTCTTCATTTTTCGGTTTTGTTTGAGTAAGAATGGATCTCATTGTACACTAACATCATCACTAATCCATATGCCAACATCAGGAAAATATTTTTATGTTGAGAACGGGAGCAGAATCGTTCCCGAAGCTTCCAAAGATAAGTGAAATTTCGATATTTTCTTCAATATATCTATATTTCTTCCCTTCAAACATTTTTCCAAACAAAGTGTCACTGACAAGCTATTGGATTTTTCTTTAAATTTTTGATGACCTATATTTCAGAAACGTCCGATTGTAATTTGGGGTCCATATCTGTATTTTGTAGATCAATTTGTTCTTGGTGTATGTATCCGACCTTACGCAAAATTGCCTGTCGACGGCACTGTCATATGCAGACGACCTCCAGATATACTCCGCTCCTTCATCCACGTTCCAGGATGTCCTAGATGCCATTACTGACTGGTGTTCCAAGTAGCTGATTCCCCTGAATCAGGCTAAATGCTCTGTCCTTCATCTTGGATAACAAAACCCTAAAAATTCTGTAAACGGCGCCAATTTAACACCAGTGACTCAGCATAATGGCCTTGGCATTATGATCTTTGAAAACCTATGCTGGCCAACCAAATAATATATATGATCATTCCAGAGGACTTGACCCTCGAGGCACTCCTCAAAATCTATAGCTCTTACAGCTGGTCCCATCTCGAGTTTACAGTGGTTATCTGGTCCCCCATACTCAGACAGGACATCAATCGCCTCGAAGCTCGAAGGACTTCAAAGAAGAGCCACCAAAATTCCTCGTGATTTTAAGAACATCCCCTACGAAGAACGACTTCGAAGACTGCAACTACCCTGCCTAGAACCGAGACATGAAAGTGGTGACCTGATAACTACATACAACCTAGATACTGACCCTCGGCTGCGTGGACATAATTACAAATTACAAAAGAAAATGTTCGCACTTCGACAAGACCACATTTCTTCTCCAACCGTGTCGTCAATCAAAGGAACTCTTTCATCAATGAACTCGTTCAAGAGCCGCCTGGACCAATAGATGAACATGCTTTATAACTAATATTGATATATTGAGTACTTCTATACTTGGTTTCTCTATTCTCTATTTTCTAAGCATCCAATGCATACAATTATTTGGACTATATGGCACAAAATGTTACCTTACTTTTTACGCTGAGCATAATGAGCCTCTGATGGCTCCTGCTCTCATCATTTTGGAAATAATAATAATAATGAATATAACCTGTTGTGGTGTTACGTAGCTCTCCGCATGGAATAAAATCCTAATTACTGTGAAGTAGCGAAAGCGTAGAAAGGCCACTGTTGTGTGTATTTTATTTTATTTCTTTATTCAGACTTCAAAGTCTGAATTCAGAGAAAAAAGTCTGAATTCAGACTTTGGAGTCGGAATAAAGAAATAAAATAAAATACACACAACAGTTAGTCCAGTTATTTTGTCGCCTGAACATATGGGGATTTTTTGCAGACTTGTTCATGATGTTGGCCTAATGAATGATCCAAGTTTGTGAACTCGAGCACCGAACGCAACTTTGTCAAAAATCGAAAAAACCTCGAAAAAATCGTAATTTTTTCAAATTTTGGCGCTTATAACCCTGAAGGACTATAGTTTTAGAAAAAAAAAACTCTCAGGACGTTTTTAAAGCAAATCAAATTTGCTACAATATGATACAAAAACTGTCTCTGTAGACCCAATAGTTTTCGAGATTAACTTCGCAATTTTTTGCAATGTTTTAGTCGTCACTCGAATATACTCTAGCGGGATGAAGATTCAATTACCTCTGACGGAGTGTGCTATTACTGTTCGTGTGATGTCACCTGGCAAGATGGCGCCTGGTTGTAGGGCCATCACATATAATAAGTATAGGTTTTCTCTCAGGTACCTGCTACACATCCTTTGGTTTATCATGATTGATTCTGTTGTTAAATCCTTTCTCTTGATGGCTGCTATCCACATTTTTATTTATTTTTATTAATAGATCTTTTATCTGTGGATACTGCACAGAGTTTTTCACAGAATCACAGTAGGAATGTGAAAAAAACTGGGCAAATTTTCCCGATCTGCACGACTTCCACTATTCACCACAATACACGTTACCCGAAGGGTAATGGGATCGCGTGCAGCTGCAGGAAGCCAGGATTTAAATGCTCATCAGTCTGTAGGCACTGCAGTGGGGCCTCTTGTGACAATGTACCTGATGTTGTAGTAGTAGATATGCCAGAAGGCGACGATCTGTCCGATGTTGAAATGGAGGATAACTTGTGGACAAAAGACGTCGACGATTCATCACCATCCCCTGATGGGGATATGCCTCAACCGGAACCTTCCTTCCTTAGAGGGCTAAATTAATCTAATTCTTTGATCTTTAATATTACTCCATTTCCTAACAAATAGCCTCATTAACTTTTGTTGTACTTATCTTTTTTATTTCCTTATCCGTAGCTCAGCTTAAACATCCTCGTTCACACTCCTCATTTTCTTTCTTATCATCTCATCATGAAAGTACAGGGCTGCGATAGTATAATCAGGGTCAAAATTCAATCAGAACGACAGGATTGCAATAAATAGCGAAGTTCGAAAAAAATTATAAACTTTGAAAGGCTCAATCTCGGAAACTAATGAGCCTACAGAGACAGTTTCGATATCATATTGTAGCAAATTTGGTCTTCTTTAAAAACGTTCTGGAAGAGTTTTTTCAAAAACTAGTCCTTTAGGGTTTTAATCGCCAAAAACTGAAAAAAAAAGATTTTTCCGCAGTTTTTTAGATTTTTAACAATGTTACGTTCGGCGCTCAAGGTCACAAACTTGGATTATTCATGGGGTCAACATCATGAACAAGTCTGCAAAAAATCAGAACTACCGGATTTGACGCATACTGTGATGTATAAAGTTACTGGATTAAGTAGCCTTTCTACGATTTCGTAGCTTTCGATTTTTCTTACAAGAGAGTATCACTGATATAGCAAGTATAGAAATTGTGGACCTTGTGCATGCGGTAATACCATACATTCCTCCTTAGCCGTGCTTAGTTTGGCTGCATTGGAGAAAATACATGAGCACCTTCTATACTGAACTTTAATAATAAAATGGAATCAAAATAACTCACCTGGATTTCGTTTGCAGATATCAGGCTTATGACTTTCAGTCTTCGATTGACCATCAGGGCCTTTAGACTTCATCGAAGGTAACGTAGGTTCTTGGCAAATGCTGGCCTTTTCGCAACATGGCATTGGATTGAAGCATTCAACTTTCTTGCAAGTTTCTTCGCTTGGTCCAATTCCCTTAAATCTACTACAAGGATCATCTTCCTTCTTACAATTTTTGGAACTCTGCTCGCTAGATGGATCACGTTTGGTGCCGTCTTTACAAGAATCCTCTTTGGTATTACTGGGGCTTTTCTGTTTGTATTTACTAATGTCAGTTTCGCAGAAATCTTCTCCTTTTTTCTTCGCTTTCAAACAACAAGAATCATCAGTTTCATCGTTCGTTTTCTTGCATGGGTCTTTTTTTCGGTCACATTTGTTTTCCTGCTTCGATTTTCCACAAGGGTCTTGCTTGTTATTTTCTTTACATGGTTCTTTTTTATTGTCATCCTTACATTTCTTCTCTTGCTTAGCCTTCTTACAGGGATCTTGCTTGTTCTCATCTTGGCATGAGTCTTTCTTAGATTTGATTTCTTGCTTTGCTTTTTTACAAGGATCTTGCTTGTTATTTTTTTGACATGGGTCTTCTTTCGCCTCATTTTGACATTTGCTTTCTTGCTTTGGGTCTTTTTTGTGCTCTTGTTGACGTCGATCATTTGTGCAGTCACTCTTGGTTTGTTTCTTCGAGTTATTACTAGTATCTTGCTTGTTATCTTTCTGACAGGGATCTTTTTTCTTTGCTTCGTCGCAGAGTTGATTAGCCGGCCGTTTTTTGCAAGTTTTATCGGTGTCTGAAGCAGTTTTGAGTTTGTTCACACATGGATTAGCTGTTTTATTATCTTGCTTGTCTGCTTTGACTGGTGTTTTTTTGTTTTTATCGTCGCAAAGTTGATTTGCTGGCTTTGATTGATGTTTATCTTTTTGACATGGATCTTCTTTCTTCTGTTCGTCAGATTTTTTACCTTTATCAGATGGTTTCTCTTCATTATTTTCGCAAAGTTGTGCCTTGAGTTTTTTCGTGCCATCTTTTTTAGATTGAGATCCATCTTTTTTGCCACAATTTTGAGCGATTATCACTATTTCATATTCTATAGGATCGAGTATTTCCAAATTCCTCATACTTGGAGCAGATATGACATTGTTTATAGTGGGATCTTTTTTGCAGTAATTTTGATCTGAAGGGTCTGCTATATTTATGTATGTATTAGGCTCTCGAATCATTTTATTCTTTCCTTCTGGTAAATCGAACTGATTCTCCTTTATATTTGAATTGTTGATATTGTGAGAATTCGGGATGATCTGATTGAAGTAGGTCTCTAAATTATTCTCTAGACGATGTATAGCTGGAACAAGAAAATAGTTATTAATCATCAATATGAGGTAGTGAATAATACGTACCAGTTTTGACTTCTTTGTATTGCAAGAATTCTTGTTCAATAAGAGGTTTCAACATTTCATATATAGCTTTTGCTAGTACTGGCTTTGGTACTTCAGCTAAATTGTCCTTCAGTTTATTCTGATATAGCTGATCCTTCTCTGTCTTACCCGAAAATTCATTGAACATTTTCTGTAATTTGTTACTTTTGCTGATGTCTCCTTCACTCCTAGACCTCTTGAGATCTATGCTGTTCATTTTCATGGATCCGTTATTGATTAAAAATGTATCAGTGCTTTTTATGAAAGCTTCGTTGGTACCAACTTTGTATTTGATATTGTTAGAATAATGATCAACCAATGCTCTAGTTTTTCCAGAATTAGATTTGACCAACATGACCAAAGGAACTGGTCCCTGACTCTTTTTATCTGATCTAGCTCTACTTTTTTTTCTTGCTAGTGTAACTACACTTCTGTTGGGTTTTCTCTCATATTTTTTGTTGAGACAAATAGATAATAACTCTGTTGTTCTTGAATTATTGTAGTTCACTGTTTCATCGTAGTTTTCTTTTTTGAATTCTTCCCTCTTCATCTCGTATTTGGGATGAACTTTTTGAGGTACAGAAAATAAAGAATTTGATCGTTTTTGATCAGTACTTTTCGTTAATTTTCCGCTCGATTTTTTCTTATTTGAACTACAAGCTTTGCAGTCGATAGGTTTGAAGATAAAATTGCTTATTTTATTGATCTCGTGTAATTTTTGTAGATCTTTTTTCTTACTTAGTTCATTCACTATGTTGTTCAGATTGACATTGAAACTTATACCTTTTGTTTTCGTACTTTCATGATGTTTCTTTTTGATTTTTTCTTTTTCGAATGTAATGCAGTCTTCTCCACATACTTCATCTCTTTTCTGATGATCACTTTTGTCAGATTGTTTGAATTTGTTGTATTTGTCTATGGATTTTTGGCAATAATTCCTTTGAACATTCAGTTGAGCATTCGTTATTGGGTGATGGTGTTTTTTAAGTCTTGAAACTTCCAACAAACTGTAACTTGTGATGAATGGATTGAGGTATTTTTCACGGAATGGCGAGAAGTATCTTATTGGTTTGATTTTTGGAAAAGACCGTACGACATGGATGCGGATTTTGTTTGCAATTTTGGGAAGAGTGATCAAGTTCTCAAGTGTATGACGTGAAGTAGGGGATCTTTGGCTTAGTTGCAACTGAAACGAAAAACATTTTTTTTCGAGTCTACGATTGGGAAATGGCACTTACGGGTATTTTTAGTAGATTAGCATTTATCAGCATGGAATTCATCACAGAAATTTGGTCATATGAAACAGAAAAGCTGGACTAGAGACTGACAATTTTGACGTGATGTGAAGATTTTACATACTTCTCGATTGTCAAACTGATATATGAAAAACAAAAAATGTTGAGAGTCAATCAAAATTTTTGTCAGTGCCTTCAGTCAAAATTTATCATTATCTTCAAAATTTCCAGTGATGTTTAGCCTAGCAAGAACCGTATCATCTACATGCTGCGTGAGTCAATTCTAAAATATTTTGTAATTTGTGATTACATGGCTCCATTTCTAGGTATCTGCACATACTTTGAAAACACTTAGCATACATACAAATCCCTCTCATGGAAGTTTCGTAACAAAAAGGCACTCATTAGCCTTTCTTCCAGTGCTTTCCAGGCAGATATTTCTCGAAGGTGTGGTAATTAGAAGTGCTTCCCAATTCTGTATGCACCCTGAAAAGCTGAAACAGATGATCAAAGCTAAAGATGGACAAACTCTTTGTAACTTCTTCGTGTCTGAGGAATATCAGAGTCGAATATCCGCGATTGTGGAAGAGCAAAAGAGGGTACTGAATGAAGATACAGGAATGGGTAAATAAGTTGATTAATGAGGATGGGTGAATTCTGTCAGATCTATTTCTACTCAACTATAAAATAGTCGAAATGCTCAAGATGAGATGAAATGCTGATGAAGAAGCAAAAACTCAAAGTCATTTTCATTCAAGTATTCGATTAAATTACGATACATTGGGAAACATTTTTGTGATAATGATTTTGTCAAGTTTCATGCATTTCTTCAATTTGATCCAGAAAACCGTGAACATTTACAATCGAAAAAAAAGTTTTCATGTTATTCGACGAACGATGAGAGACGAATGAATCACTATGGCAGAATTTATAAGGTGTAAGCAAAATAGGAAAAAATATATTGTGAAAAAATGCATGGATGCAGACAAAAACATTGGCCAATTTGATACAAAATATTCAGAAACGGCCTTTTCGATGTCTATTATCCATTATCCATATATATCGGACTCCTGCTTGGGTTGTTTTTGGGAATTCATCTTTAACTATTATACAGAATGTTTTTTTCAAACTATGTCTTTGATGCTGATAATTTTTTTTGACTAATTCTCAATATCAAGTGGTACTCAGTATGAGGTTCTCATCAGTATTCTCGTTCATTATACATGGTGAATGGTTTACTTTGGATGAATTACCTAAAGGGTTGGAAAAAGTGTTCATTGTAGGTTTCATATTTTATTTTAAATTCTCGATTTTCAACTCTTCATTCCATCATTTATGGATTTTTCTTCGATTTATTTAGGAAGTTATTTCAAAAATTCCATATACATGTCAGCATATACAGTGTGTCCAAGATAAGAATGTCTATCATGGGGTAAAGTTGATGATGATTTCTCCGAAATGGAACGTCGTACGGAAAATCTCTCAACGTTGTTTTGCGTATAGCTCAGAAAGTGGCAATGAGAAAGTATATTTTGTTTTCCTATCTCTTTAAATAACGTCAGAAAAAAACGTATATATACTCTATGTATATATGTATACAGGGTGTCGCACTCCCGCTTGAAAAGTGTCGTAACTCAAAATATCACTCAGGAGGATCATTGTAAGTTTTGTATTATTTCAAATAACCTATCATGAACTCATGAAGAACAGAAATTCAATAGTTTTGCTTCATGATGAAGCTTTCACTTTATTTTTTTTATTATAATGGGCAAAATTCCTTAGAGCCAGCTTGATACTTCTGCTATAGAACGGCTAGGCTCTGGAATTCATTGCCTGTGGAAGTATTCCCAACAACATATAATCTCCGAAATTTCAAAAAAAATTCCAATACCTACCTCCTGTCCCTATCCTCCCTAGGAACGCACGATGTTCTTTGAACATTATAGGGATTCCCTTTCGTGCGCTCCAAGCGATAAAAAAAATCAAATAATGAGCTGTGACACTATATCGATAACAAATATTTATATTGAAGGAAACAAATTATCATAATGTGGTGTACCTATTCCATTTGTATAATACTAAGGAACTCATATAAACTAAGAACGAAGTCATATAATACTTTGGTGAAAACCTTGAATGAAACTTTGGCAAACAATAGGAAACAAAAACTGAAATTCTCAGATAACACTGAAATACTCGAAAAATGCTGAATGAATTGTATTTTTTCAAATAGTTGTAGAAGTCAGTATAAAATCTAGGAATCTGATTGGTATATACGAACGGCCTTCTTATTTTCTTTCAGCGGAATACCCTTTTTATAAGCGGTTTTCTCCAAATTCTCATTGAATTAAGATTATTTCATATTCCATCCACTGAGAGTTGTGTTTCCTTTTTGCACGATTCTCTACAACATCAACCACTTCACGATCAGGGTTTCCTTCTGTTACTTGGGCAGTATCAGAATCACAATCGCTGGACGACGATGACTATAGCGTTGACGATGACGATAACGATCTTCATAGAGGAGGAAGAACTTTGGGATTTTTGTCTTCTGTAAATGAGCTGGAGATCCTCAGAATCGAATGGATACAATTGAATATTGATCATTTCACGAATAGGTGTTTGTGAATCAGTAAAGATTAAATACTTACCACAAATATGTAGTATTATGAAAAATTGAAGAAGAAATCAGAGTGAGTTCGAAATAATAATCTGTCTCCATGTCAATTGATTGAAAAGAATCGTGAACCCTGATTCTGATTGTATTGATAATAATTCATGACTTTTTGTTATAGGACATAGAGAGAGATAAACTATGTTTTTCTGCAACCGACACAAAAGTCGTCCATTTTGATACCAAAATTAGCTCTTAAATTGACGTTTCTAATACTGACACAAAAATAGGTATGTTGCTAGGCAACATATTTAGTTCCTAGGAACTAAAGTTGAATTTAAGTTCCTAGGAGCTAAATTTGAACTTTAGCTCCTAGGAACTAAAAAGGCTCTACTGGACGTCATCAAGAATAAACAACATTGTGACGTTTGGTTATTTGGGCTGAGACGCATACCTGATTTGTTTCCGATTTCAGCAGATTTGGCATTTCATACCCATGCTGGAGATATAAATACACCTTATCATAGTTTAGTATTGAAATTATAAACATCTCGGTTAAGTATTTTTGTTCTGATCAGGGAAGCCTTCAAGATTCGAATACTTGCTTGATCTGTATTTCATTCGTTATTCTCGGGATTCATAACTTGTTTTTGAATAATCACGGCAAGCAATACCTAGAGTTTTTTTGTCTCAAACAACGATATTGTTTAGCTTCATTTGATTATCAAGTCAAACACAGTGTAGTATGGAGAGGAATAAATAATCTCTATTATTGATTGATTGATTGATTGTCTTTATTACCCCAAGAAACATTTCTGTTGATATGCTCACTAACCTAACATTTTCCACGTCTTGTTCCTATAGCTGGCACTGGCGCGGTATTTGCCAATAGAGCACCTGGTCCACACACAAATATGAGAACATCCTAGAAAACCTAACCTGCTGTTAATGCAGGTAGAATATTCGCACCACATGGATTATTTGTCAATATTTGTTGCATTGCATACATATCGCACGGCATTGGTGGTTACTTCACATGTTTATTTGAGTTAATTGTTTCGGTTGCAGAAAAAATAGCATGTTTCATTCGGATCAAAAGTGACTTTGTTCGACTCGCAAATTTTGCTTTCGCTCGGCTTCGCTAAATGCTCCGCCTCGGCCTCGCAAATGCAAAATTCGCTTGTCAAACAAAGTGTCACTTTTGATCCTAATAAAACAATCTACTATTGTTTTCGTATTCGAATGTTGCAATAATAAAATACTGCTCAAGTTTCAACTTCTTCCTTTTTCCTATCAGTTGCAATCCATTTTTGCCATCAATTTTTCTCGATTGAAAGCCATTTTCAACCTGAAGATAAGAGGTATTTTCCATAATATATGCCATAACAAGAAATGCTACCCCAAAAAAAAATCACATGATATTTCTCAACACTGTCACAAGTCGAAATAATCCATGACAGTTTATTTCAGATCCAGTAAAACTGGCTCAACTCGGAATATGCCATTGATTTTCAGGATGAAATTAACTCACTGTTATAACAAAAGTGAGATAATTGGAAATGATACAGTTTTTAGAATTCACACATAGGGTAATTGAGATTATGTAATATGTGAGAGCTATTCGAACTCTACCATTGTGACAATTTTAGAGATTGAAGTTCAGACATTATTCCACTCAATGTCACTTTTGAAACGGGGGTGCGATATGTCCTTGAATTATTTACATCGAATTTTGAATCACCCTCTGATCATTTAAACACTATTATATATTAACAGACGGTCATCATGCCCATTAATATTCGAAATAACTGTGTAGGCTTTTCCTAATGGTTTGACTTTCCACACTGTGTAGGTTTCGTTATGTTAATTTTCTCTCATTATTGTAGCAGTCCTAATACCAAAATACGCAAGTGAAACGATAAATTCCTCAGAAAAAAAACAGTTTTCCTGAAAATATGTGAAATCAAAGTGTAGTGAGCTGCAAACTGTAACTCGACTTTCCCTATCCGCCATTAATATATGACTGATCAGTCCTGCCTGAGGCACCCTGTATATACCTACATGTTTGAATGATTATTATAGGTTTACGGCAAAATGAAATAAAATATCAACATGTCCTCAACTGTGCTCAACCGTCATCAGTTCAGAAAAAAGCTATCAAAAAACAAGAAGAGAAAAAAGAGGAGGAAATCATAACCTTATTGGAGAAGAAAAAACAAAGAAAACCTATTAGAACAACAGTTCTATCACTTATGCTCAAAAAGAAACAGCAAGAACAAGAAGAGCTCGTTGATGAGAAACAAGAAAGTCGGTCAACCATTCTACCTCTAGTAATGAAGACGAAGAAGAAAAATATGGAATTGAAAAAGAAATTCCGTAAGAGGACAACGATTTTGCCAATATTCTTGAAGAAGATGGAACAGAAGACAGAAAGCGAATATACAGGTTGTTACAATGTGACGTTGCCAACATGATTGATAGAAACTATTGAACATGGTGGGGAAATGTCGATATTT